TGCGCCACCACGAGCAGTTTTTATATTTTTAATTAATAATAGGATTTAGATCCCCTTAGATAAATGTAAAAGAGGTATTTTGTTGAAATGTTATATCAGAAATTCCATCCTTCGTTACTATTTAAACTTTTGCTGAAAAACTGTCAATTTAAATATGTGCAAAGAGATACACAATTTCTCAAAATTGTTTCAGGAAATAACTGAGCACAAAACTTGAAGATCACAGTCCTAAAGAAACTTATAAAAGTAAAGATCATCCAGATTAATGAAGACTCTACCAGCAGAGTAGCAAAAACATGACATTTGAATGTCACTCTCCCTCAACAGACTAACAGCCACGAGGGCATACTTTTTTTCTGAGTAGTCCCACCAATAGTGCTATAAATAGCATACAGTAGGTTTTAATAATCCTTTACCACATGGGGGAATGAGTGGATGGAATGAATGAATAGGAAATATGTGTCAAAGTGTATTATTTGATAATGGGAAATTACAAACTAACAGATTTTTTTTTTAAGATTTTATTTATTTATTTGAGAGAGAGAGAATGAGAGATAGAGAGCACGAGAGGGAAGAGGGTCAGAGGGAGAAGCAGACTCCCTGCCGAGCAGGGAGCCTGATGCGGGACTCGATCCCAGGACTCCAGGATCATGACCTGATCCGAAGGCAGTCACTTAACCAACTGAGCCACCCAGGTGCCCACAAACTAACAGATTTCTACTACAAATCAAATACAAATTACAGATTTCAGACACAGCCAGACATTAAGTCTCTTAAATTACAAAAGCCCTAACATAAAAACTTGATTTACATTTTAAGCAATCCATAGCTGAAATTTGAAATAACAAATACAGCACTCTTTTTTCAAGAGATACAACTAGTAACTAAACAGGAATGAGTTTGGCAGAGGAAGGGGGCAAATCTGAAATCATTTAGCCATTTAGCAATAAATGAAATTTCACTTTAACAAGTTAAGATTCAGAGTCTATGGGAAAGCCAAAATGCCGTAATCAAAACTTCAAAACTTACTTCAAAAAATAGTAAATCTTCCATCAAATCTTAAATTCTAAGTCTTTTGTGAGTCAATATTTTCCTAAGACCATCAGTAATTCTCTAGTTTTTCCTCCAAAGATGCAGAAAAACCATCACCACCATGTGTCTCAACTAGGTAGTTTTTACTTTTCACATCAGTGGAAGTAACAACCTGCAAATCATTCACTTCTTTCTACTGGTTTTGCCAGGAAGTACTGAGTAATTAAGAAATAAATGTACCTATTGCCTGGGCATAATTTTAAGTGAAATGGTGGGCTTAAATTGTACACTTAAATTAATGTAAATTAAATATACTTAGGTGACTCACTGTAGTGCTAATTCGATATAATGTAAAAGGCTTGAAGCATTACATATTTTTAGTTTTATTGAGATGTAATAGGGATACAACAGATTGCACATAATGAAACATACAATTTGATAAAATTTTGACATATATATACAAATTTATTTCTGAAACCCCAATCCTCTTCCTCGGCCAAAAACTTACACAGAATGTGTTATTTGAGAAAAGTACTTACCTTCATGTAATTCACAATCTTGGCAAGAACACCAAACTTATATCCAGAGCTTCCTGATAGAGCTTTCAAGTTAAATGATCCATTGCTATGATCTGAAAATGAGGTTCAAAAAACAACTATAACATTGTCATATAGATTTGATTATGACTTTTAAGCAACTAAGATTTGATTATGACTTTTAAGCAACTAAGCAACTAGTAAAATACTTGTTTTGCATTTTTCCATCTAGTGAATTCTACCATGTAAAACTCTGGTGAAAATTCAAATCTTTGAGTATATAATAAACTTATCAATTTTCCCACCAAGGATAGGAACAAAGTATTAGTAAATTCAAAAGCATTAAAATACATTTCTCTTGCAGACGCCTGGGTGTCTCAGTCGGTGAAGCACCCAACTCTGATCTCAGGGTTGTGAGTAGGTTGGAGCCCACTTAAGAAAAAAAAAAAAAAGTGAAATACATTTCTTCTGTAAGTACCTTTGTCTCACTGTTCCCTCAATTATGATTAGATTTATCCCCAAGATTAGAAGCATGGCTTTTTAAACAAGAGGACAATACAAATCTCAAACTGATCCATAGAGTTTTTCTAACAGACTTAAAACCATGAGAAATGAGTCAATTACTTCCAAGGGATAAAAAGTTCCATTTATCACCTGTTACATCAATTTCTGGCCTCTCAACTTAAAACAAATGGGAACTAGTGGGAATTAATAAAAGAAATGATACCATAACTAATTAAACTTTAGAGATTAATTAGGGAAAAAATTATTTAAAAAAGGGAAAAAATTCATAGGCACTGAAACTGCATAAACATGGATGCTTAAAAAAGGATGATAGTATGAAACAAGCGCAAACTGTATAGAAGACAATTTGTTTCAGAACTTGTATCATTTTGTTGCATTTTATAGGCAGAAATCCTAATGCTACCAGGAATCACAAGTGCATTCCATCATAAGGAGGAAGAGTTAAAGAAAAAACAAAAAACCCTCAAATACTAGAAAAACATTTCAGAAGTACACATTCTATTAACAGACCATCAACTCAGATATATTAAGTTCCCTTGTGGCTGATCCACAAAGGAAGAAGTTAAATAAAAAGGGAGGGGGGTATCTTTGGCACCAGCTTGGTAATAATAATTTAAAAAAAAGAATGCATTAGAACAATACAAGTCAAATGTAACAATTGTCAGAGATCCAAAAGAATAGCTTTTAGATGGCAACATAATACTTCTGAGATCGATTTATGAAAAGACTTTACTAAATACGCTTTTTTGAGACTAAAATGAGATTTGATATGTAATTTCCCTTAAAAATCACTGCTTTAAATTTGACAACAACTTAATTGGCACATTATAGCCTACTATGTTTCCAAAAGTAATATTATGGATGCCTTACAGGTATGCTTTCACATTATTTCAACTATGAAATACTACCTACATGGTTCATTTTCCCAAGGTGTTCAGGACACTTTAACAATAAAAGTAACATTTACTGAACACTTACTATTTGCCACGTACCATGCTAAATATTTGATTTTCTCATTTAATCCCTCCAAAAAATCCTATTTAGGAGGTATCACTGTTCCCTTTTTTTTTTTAAAGGAGATTTTTTTTTTAAAGATTTTATTTATTTGCCAGAGAGAGAGAGAGCCCAAGCAGGGGAGAGGAGCAGAGGGAGAAGCAGACTCCCCGCTGAAGAGGGAGCCCCATGTGGGACACGATCCTGGGATCCTGGGACCATGACCCGAGCCCAAGGCAGATGCTTAACCAACTGAGCCACCCAGGCACCTCTCACTGTCTGTCCCCTTTTAAACATAAGAAAAGTTAAGAGTACTATGTAGAAGAATACAGATTCAAATTCAGTTGTAAACACTGTGATACTGCCTTGCATAAGAATCATTAACTAGTCTTTAATACAGACTATTCCATCTTGAAACTGGCTATTATTTTGTCAGAGTATAAAAATGTATAAATGCAGATATAATGTTTTCTTGTTTAACTTTAGTAAAATATTAAGTTTATCCTACATAAACTAACTGGGAACACTATGAAAAGCAGACGATACTATGTTAAGGATAGGCACTATACAAATGCTCAATCGTGAACTACATGCAGTTTTGTGTATCATGGAGTCGTGAACATTTAGCTCAATGCCAGGCAGAGTAAATAGTAAATATTAGCTGAATGAATGAAGATAGTAAGAGTATTTCTATGTACCTCTTTACGGTCCTAGAAACTAATATGCTAATTTATCTGTAATTTTAAAAAATAATGTGGTGGCACCTGGATGGCTCAATCAGGTGAGTGTCTGACTCTTAATTTTGGCTCAAGTCATGATCTTGGGGTCATGGGATCAAGCCCCGCACTGGGCTCTGCACTCAGTGCAGAGTCGGCTTCAGATTCTTCCCCCCGCCCCACCTGCACTATCTCCCTTTAATAAATCTTTAAAAAAATGTAAACTATAAAATAAAGTCTGCACAGCAAGCATTTACTCAGTCTGCTGTTGCTATAATAGTCACTCCATAATTTAAAACCTTGATACTGTTATGCTTGGACCACACACAACTCTAAATAATACGCCATAAATAAAAATATTCTATCTTCAAATATTCAGTTGAGGATTCTTTTGCCATTTTTTAACAGTTTTTTTGAGGGGTGCCTGAGTGGCACAGTCAGTTGAGTGCTGATTCTTGGTTTCAGCTCAGGTCATGATCTCAGGATCGGGGATCGAGCTCTGCCTCAGGCTCCATGTGGAGTCTACGTGACATCATCTCTCCCTCTCCCTCTGTCCCTCCCACTTGTGCTCTAAAATAAATAAATTTTGAAATTTTTAAAAATTTTAGTACAATTGACAATGTTACATTGTTTCAAGTGTACAACCTAGTCATTCAACTTCTCTGTAGATTATGCTGTGCTCACCACAAGTATAGCTGCTATCTGTCACCATACAACACTATCATAATATCATTAACTATATTCCCTATGCTGTGCCTTTTATTCCTTTTTTACCATTTAAATTTCAGACTGCTTTTTAATGTCGGTGGTATACCTACCAAAACTAACCCTCTCCCAACTAGCAGAGCTGAAAATCTTTCTTTTCCCTTAGAATTTCTCCTAAATCAAACCACCACATGGAAATAATCACTCCCAGAGGACAAGATTTATATATAACACAAGTATGGAAAGAAAATATCATTTATGAGATTTTATGCCCACTTCCTGGAGGAAATACCAAGCTGGTAAACCTGGACTGTTTGTTTCCTAGGTTACTACCTCTCTCGACATTACCTTTTAGCCCTAGCAGTGAAATACTCACTGAAGGATCCAAAATTTTATGGTTAAACACTAAGGAATCATCACTTTGTTACTAACTCAAATTCCTTTGCAGAAATTTAGCTTAAGGACAAAAAAATAAGAAAAAGGTGACAGTTGATATCCCAAACAGCTCTATTCAAGTTTATGAATGATTTAACACTTAAAGGTGGCAGGACTTAATGCAAATGAACGAAGAGGAAACTGTCAGCTGCATTGTGGTTCAACCAATAGAAGCACAGCTCCATCTTGGATGTGCACCGGACTGCATTACAAACAGACGATACCATCGCTTCAACAGCAGCCTTCAGACGAGAGGTAGGTTTATACGATCTCTTTCATTTAGTAATACACATCCTTATGATGTAATGTAAAAATATTTTACCATAAAAACCAACCAGAAAGCTTTGTTCCTACAAAAGACCAAAAAAAAGCAATGTATTCATTTCACTGCTTGGTAGGATTTTATTATGAAAATGTGAAGACTGCCTTGTGCTATTTGATAAGCACCCTTACCATCTGTGCCTTATGGAAAATTCATGAGATTTTCTATGAACCTGATCTATATCCAGACCTTAGAGTAAACCATAAGCATTTAATGTTAAGTGGTTACTTGCTAATTTATTTTTTCTGAGCTATTTCATTTCAGCAGTTTGGTCTGCCTTAACAAAGGATTTTTCTTAAAGAAAAATCTAGACTAAAAGCAAATCCTGGACTAAAGCTTTCTAATTATATGTGCAAATTATATTGGCTGGTAAAAAGCAACTACTTATGGGAAAGTTTGTTATATTTTAACAAATATGAGAAAATAGTTCAAAACTGTTTATTTGGCTTTGAGTGTAGATGCAGAGAATGCCAAGAAATTGTAACGAATGTGATTTTTACATAAAAATTAGAAGACCACAAAGATATCATTAAATAGGCTGCATTATACTATTGCCAAAGAGATCATTTGTAGAGCTTCAAACTTTCCTAAGATTCTAACTAAAATAATTCCTTATGGTTAAATTTTAAAATCTATATTACTATAATACACAAGTCATTCTATTATTAAATGATAACCTTCTTAAATAGCCTTTCATTTTTTATATGCCACAAAAATATTCATAACCATATTTTAATATAATGTTGAAATTATTCTTCAACTGATTCCTCAAAATAAAGAGAGCAAGTCTTTTTGATAAACTACAGTTTAAAATAAAAGTATGTTTTAAGAAGAACTGGTTAAGGGAGGAAGGTATGGTACCTTTCAACGTAGGTAATAAGATTACTTTCATGGCTCAGAGTAACTATTCATGTCTACTAAAAATTAGTATCAACCACTGATCAAATTTCTAATTTTATAATGGTAATGTAAATATCATTATTTAGTAGATGCCAGAGTTCCAAGATATTACCCACACATACTGACCTAAAGATCCAACTTCTGCCCTTTTCTTTGCTGATAAATCTATTTAAATTTTAAAAGACTATTTTCATAATTTTTATTCCTTCTATTTCTTATTCAGCATTCAGCCAGCATGAGTAAAGCATCTCTTACAAAGCCTAAAGGTTGCTGTAAGAAGATATTAGATCTCTCGAGGTTCAGAACAATGGGGTTAATTACCTAGAAAATATTCCTGCTTGCTGTACAAAGTATGGGAGCCAAAAAAGTCTCAGATAAATAAAAACAACCTTGTCTAATCAACAGTTAACTTGTAACTGAAATTTCACGTAAACTGTAAACAGAAAAAGCCCTACCACCCCCATTATTAGCACTATAATCAGCCTACATTTTACTGGTGATATATTTATGGTTAACACAGATATAGGTTTACTGCTCTTTCACCAAACTGACTAGACGTATGGCCTATCTCAGAGAGTTCCAGGGCTGGGTGAGCTGCTCTGTTTAAAGGCCAATATGATTAACTGATCATATTTCAAAGTTATATGTTTAAAGACACTAGAGAATTCAACTCAAGGGCTTTTACCATAATTAGAGCAAAAGCGTAATCTTATTCTGATCTGACAATTCAAGGTTCCAGAACAGTTTGAAGTCCTATCCCCATAAATATTTCACTAGGGCCTTCTGAAATGGGAGGAAAAATAGGTGAAGAGACTATACCAAAAATAAACCTAAAAAAAATATACGGTATTTACTTTAACACTCCCCACTTCTGTAATGAAATATTAAAGAGGTGGGGATCCAAAAAAAAGTACACAAACAATTTTTACCATTTAGTCTTGTTTTTCATAAAGCATGTATATAGCAGGTATTTTATATAAATTTGTATTTTAATTTCAAAAATAGTCTTAGAATGAGAAAATCCTAATAATACCATCTTTTTGCATGTCTAATTATATCTACTCCATTAAAGTAAGTTTCAGATTTTACCCTAAATTTAGCACAAAAAATTGCTAGAGCTCTGCTGTATGTAAAAAGAATAAACCACATTAAATTTAAGGTACAAAATGACTCCGTATTTCACGGTTTACTTTTTTCAGATATGCCCAGAAGCTAACTAAAGATTGAATGTTTTGAGTTGCTCATCAGTTATCAATACACTCACATAAGAGGCAAACTGTCATCATTTACAACATAAACTGTCATCATTTACAACACGTGTGTACTCTTCCTTAAACTGCTTAGACACTTCTACTCAAAATGACAGTGTTTACTGATTCTTGTTTTAATTTTTTAGAAGTAATCCAGAAAACCCAATAAATGTATCAAATAGATATAAAACAAATAAGATATATAACACAATGTAACAAAAGATATAAAACCAAAGGCCAAGAAATACTTTTAAAATATATTAGTTTGGGGGACGCCTGGGTGGCTCAGTCGTTGGGTGTCTGCCTTCGGCTCGGGTCATGATCCCAGGGTCCTGGAATCGAGCCCCACATCAGGCTCCCTGCCCAGCAGGAGGCCTGCTTCTCCCTCTCCCACTCCCCCTGCTTGTGTTCCTACTCCCGCTATCTCTCTCTCTGTCAAATAAATAAATAAAATCTTAAGAAAAAAATAAAATATATTAGTTTGGGTTTTAGATACGAACTATATTCAAATGGTTCAAAAACTAAAACATAACAAGATATACCTTGAGAAATCTCACAAAGATCCCTATTTCCCAGCTCTACTCTCCAACCACACAAGTAATCATTTGTTATTAATTTCTTATATAACTCCTTCCAAAACTTTTGTGCAGATACAAGCAAATAAAAATGCATATTATTTCCCCCTTTCCCATACATACTGTCCTGCATCTTGGTTTTTTCACTTAACAGACCCTAAAAATCCTTCAGTATCACCACACAGTTACCTCATTCACACACAATAATCAATTGTATGGATATATTAATTTTAACCAGAAGAATAGGTCATTGATGGGTACAAGTTAACCTCAAATAACTGAATTTAGTTTGTGTCTGCCTGCCTGCCCCACCTTCTCCCTTCCCTCCATTTTGGGGAGTGCACAAGAGGGCGTGAAAAAATTTTTTTCTTTTATTTTTAAAGATTTTATTTATTTGACAGAGAGCGAGAGAGGGAACACAAGCAGGGGGAGGGGGAGAGGGAGAAGCAGGCCCCCCTGCCAAGCCACCCAGGCACTCCTTGAAAAAATTTTAAACAGTTCACTTGTACCTCAAATATAAATAGAATATTGGGACACCTAGGTGGCTCAGTGGGTTGACCAGCAGCTCCTGGTTTCAGCTCAGGTGGTAATCTCTGGGTCATGGGATCGAGCCCCAGGATGGCTCCGTGGTCGGGGAGGAGTCTGCTTGGGATTCTTTCTCCCTCTCCCTCTGTACCTCCCGTATCTGATACTTGCACACACGTGCTCTCTCACAAATAAATCTTCTTTAAGAAACAGAATATAAAGTTAAAATTTTAAGCAGTTCACTTGTACCTCAAAATTAAATAGAATATAAAGTTCCTTAAACCAACTTTCCAGTAATTCTAAAATTTCATTTTGAAATAGAAATTTACATTATTAGTCTCTACAACTTCTCCTCAGTTTTTTTAAAGTCAATACAAATAAGAAATCCCTACTCAAAAAGAGTTAAAATACAAAGTAGTAACTTCAGCATAATTTCATAAGTTATAGATTTATACAGCCAATTTCTAGAAGAAAAGAAACAAAAGTCTGACATGTTAGGGAGACAGGATTATTAGTGAAGCTTTTAGTTTTTATTTAAAATTATTATAATGTGGGGCACCTGGGTGGCTCAGTCATTAAGTGTCTGCCTTCGGCTCAGGTCATGATCCCAGGGTCCTGGGGATCGAGCCCCGCATAGGGCTCCCTGCTTGGCGGGAAGCTTGCTTCTCCCTCTCCCACTCCCCCTGCTTGTGTTCTCTCTCTCGTGTTCTGTCAATTAAAATAAAATATTTAAAAAAATAATAATAAAAATTATTATAATATAAAAATTACTATAAAGTTTCTGAAATCAATAATGAAATCTTAACATTAAGTTAATTAATAAGGTACATTAAACTAATTTTTTAAAGATTTATTTGAGAGAGAGAGAGACTCCCAAGCAGACTTCCCACTGAGCGCAGAGCTCCACCCAGGGCTCAACCTCACAACTGGAAATCATGACCTGAGCCAAACCCAAGAGTCGGATGCTCAACCCACTGAGCCACCCAGACACTGCTACATTAAACTAATTTAAGGGACATAATGTGTAAAGAAATTCCCAGATTTTAAAAAGGAATCAACCTGGGACGCCTGGCTGGCTCAGTCAAAAGAGTATGTGATTCTTGATCTCAGGCTTGTGAGTTCAAGCCCTATATTGGGTGTAGAGATTACTTAATAAAACAAAGGAATCAACCTGAAAGGCCTTAACAGAAAGTCTAAGGAATATTTGCATCAGTGCTGGAGAGGTCCTAGGTTAGCCCAGGTAAAATTATTAGATAGACTCTCCAGTGATTCTTCCCCTGCTCTTTATCTACCCATACAATAAATGGCACTGTTCTCTCTTTCCTCAAGAACTATTCTTCCTCTCCTCTTCTATATGCTCTGTTTTTCAAAAGGACCTGAAACTCATTCACACTGAAGTAAAAATAACTAACAATGTGTGCTACCCTCCCAGGAATATCACATTGTAGTCACACTAAATATTTTAAAGGAGTTCCAAAGCTAAACATTTTTTAGGCATTTGTATGTGTGTACACACCTGTCACTACTCTAGGCTAGGTCAAAAAGGACTAACGTTCTCTCCATTTGAGTCAGTTTCTATGGGTTACTTGACTATTTGTGTGCACGGTGATTAGAATCAGAAGAAGAGACACTGCAGAAGTTGGAGGAGTGACCTATCGGGATATTCACATTAGACTCCAAGGTGCACCACTTATAGTATATTCTATGTGAGCAGCACCCTACAATGCAATATGAATGGTGTTCCCTGGAGGTGTGCAATGTAGCAGCTCCACTTTCTATAAGAATGCACTAATAAGGAAAAAACTTAAGGGATAAAAGAGGGTAACTCTAGGACGCCTGGGTGGCTCAGTTGGTTAGGCGGCTGCCTTCGGCTCAGGTCATGATCCTGGAGTCCAGGATCGAGTCCCGCATCGGGCTCTCTGCTCAGTGGGGAGTCTGCTTCTCCCTCTGACCCTCCCTCCTCTCATGTGCTCTCTCTCTCTCATTCTCTCTCTCAAATAAATAAAAATCTTAAAAAAAAAGAGAGGGTAACTCTAAAAGGGTGGGTCCCCAGACAGTTTGAAAATACTGTAATATACTGGGAAGTTCCTCACATACCAGTGTTCCAGACAATGTATTTTTGTTAAGTACCAGAATTAATAAAGGCAATTGATTCAATTACTGTCCATTAGTCTGTTGTCCCTCGTTTCAAGATGAAAGATCACCAGAAACCATGAAACTGAAGTATTCTTAAATCCAAAAGGAACAAATGAATTTAAGCCTTTACTTCTGGCCTCAGATCATCAATTTAACCTTCAAAATACACAAAAGAAGAAACCAAGTCCATCCAGAGAGGTGAAGTTACTTGCCAAGCAAATATGATTTAAGATAGAAAACAAAAACCTTTGGAGTGCCTGGGTGGCGAAGTCAGTACAGCATGTGACCCCTGATCTCAGGATTGTGAGTCAAGCCCCATGTTGGGCATAGAGTTTACTTAAAAATAAATAAAAACATAGAAAACAAAAACCTTAGAAAATATTAACTTATCAATGTCAAAGTTTTAAAATTAGATTTCTAAAGAAAACAAAGAAATTGAAGGAATTATACTGTTATGGCTCTGGTTTAAGTCACTTTTTTTTATTTTTTAAAGATTTTATTTGACAGAGAGCGAGAGCAGGAACACAAGCAGGGGGAGTGGGAGAGGGAGAAGCAGGCTCCCCGCGGAGCAGGGAGCCCGATGCAGGACTCAATCCCAGGACCCTGGGATCATGACCTGAGCCGAAGGCAGACGCTTAACGACTGAGCCACCCAGGCGCCCTTAAGTCACTTTTTCATCTTTTTTGGTGTGAAAATGATAACGTGGTTATGTTTAAAAACAGAATCCTTGGGGCGCCTGGGTGGCTCAGTCGTTAAGCGTCTGCCTTTGGCTCAGGTCATGATCCCAGGGTCCTGGGATCGAGCCCTGCATTGGGCTCCCTGCTCCATGGGAAGCCTGCTTCCCCCTCTCTCTCTCCCCCTGCTTTTGTTCCCTCTCTCGCTGTGTCTCTCTGTCAAATAAATTCTTTAAAAACAAAACAAACAAAAAAACCCAGAATCCTCACCTTTTAAGAGAGATACACTGAATATGTCTAGATGAAGTGATGTCTACAATTTGCTTCAACATAATCTATGGGTGGAAGCAAATGGGTATAGATGAATTGATAATTGAAGCTGTATTATGAGCATACAGGGGTTTATCATACTCTTCTTTTTTAAAGATTTATTTATTTATGGGGCAACTGGGTGGCTCAGTCAGTTAGGCGTCTACCTTTGGCTCGGGTCATAGTCCCAAGGTCCTGGGATCGAGCCCCGCATTGAGCTCCCTGCTCGAGGGGAGCCTGCTTGTCTCTCTCCCCCTGCCTCTCCTCCAGTTCGTGCTCTCTCTCAAATAAATAAATAAAATCTTAAAAAAAAAAAAAGGTTTATTTACTTCTTTTATTTGTAATGGTTTGATTTGGCTTCCATTCAGGCCTTCTCATCTCAATGTTTATTTGGGTTTAATTTTTAATTTAAATTCAATTTAATTAACATACACTGTAAAGATTTATTTATTTACTATAGGGGTGGGGGGAGAGAGAGTGCACGAGCTGGAGGAGCAGAGAGAGAGGGAGAGAGAATCCTAAGCAGACTCTGCGTGCTGAGCACTAAGCCCAATGCGGGGCTTGATCTCACAACCCTGAGATCACAGCCTGAGCCAAAACCAAGAGTCAGATGCTTAACCAACTATTGCCACCCAGGCGCCCCATTCTAGAGAGAGCGAGAGTATGCGTGTGCGAGCAGGCAGAGGATCAGAGGGAGACAGAGAGGGAAAGAACCTCAAGCACCCTCCCTGCCCAGTGAAGGTCTCCACGTGGGGCTCAGTCTCCCCAATTGAAACCAAGAGTCGGGTGCCCAACTGACTGAGCCACCCAGGTGCCCCTCATTATACTCATACTCTTCAACTACCTTGAAGTTTTCTTTAATTAAAACATACACACACACACAAGTATCTCCAGCATTTAGAAAACTATTTGGTACACAGTAGGTAATCAATAAACATTTCTTTACAAGAATGAATGAAAACCTACCTAAACTATGTAGTAAAGAAAAATCATGCAAACTAAGTCATTTCTTGAATAAAATAAAGCAAACTGACAACAGTCATTGAATTAACGAAGTGGAATTTTTTATTTCCAAAATTTTCTTAGTATAAAAGCATTCTATAATTTCTTAAAATAAGTTTAAAGGATACTTCTGAAAGATCAAGGTAATAAATTCTTCAATCCTTATGGTCCCATTTTAGGTCGAACAAGTATCAGGTCAACAAGAGCAAAATTTAATGCAAGAATACTAAAACTTTAATTCACTGGTTAATTTTGTGAAATGGAATAATAATTTAATAATCAATATATCTGGGATGCTGATTGTTTAAAATATTCATGTCCAGGGGCGCCTGGGTGGTTCAGTCGTTAAGCGTCTGCCTTTGGCTCAGGTCATGATCCCAGGGTCCTGGGATCGAGCCCCGCATCAGGCTCCCTGCTCTGCGGGAAGCCTGCTTCTCCCTCTCCCACTCCCCCTGCTGGTGTTCCCTCTCTCGCTGTGTCTCTCTCTGTCAAATGAATAAATAAAATCTTTAAATAAATAAATAAAATAAAATATTCATGTCCATAGATCATTCAGCTATATGAAACAGTTAATACTATCATATACATAACAGAAAGAAATCCTAAGATTAAGGTATCTTCATAGGCAACTTGAACCTAAAATTTTATTATCCTTATTCTGAAAATTGTCGTTATTTAGCTTTTCTTTAACATTTTTCACTCAGCCACTATTTCCTGATTCAGGTCACCTGTCCTCGAAGTTTAAAGGACTGGAAATAGAAATACACTGAGCCAACAAGGTGAGAAGGATCCACAAAGGTAATGAGAAAAGTTTTCGGGAGGCAGTCTGAAGACCACCACCTTAAAATGCTAAAATTTTTTGTAGTTAATAGATCACTGACCACAGCTTTAGTCAAATTTTAAAACAATTCAGCTTCTCTTTTTCCATTTCTACTATCAGTTAACTTCTGTACAGAAATCTTAAACCTATATATTTGTCTAGCAAATGATACACATAAAAAACATATAGTACAGTTCATAGAATACACGGCCATAAAATACAGAAAAAATTCAAAAATATAATTTGGGCATTAATTCTGGCAGAAAATAAGATGACTCATGTTACCTATAAAAATTTACTAAAGTTAGTACTAAAACTTGAATTGACAAATCTTTACAATTTCATTACATATATTCACTTTTTACCTTTTTACAGATTCAAAAGAACAATACAAGAAGTAGAATCCCTAAGAATGGCCTCCCTGAGCTCCAGCCTCTGGAATGAAACCACTACATCTGTTTATCAGTACCTTGGTTTTCAAGTTCAAAAAATTTACCCTTTTCATGATAACTGGAACACTGCCTGCTTTGTCATTCTGCTTTTATTTATATTTACAGTGGCATCTTTAGTGGTGTTGGCTTTCCTGTATGAAGTGCTTGACTGTTGCTGCTGTGTAAAAAACAAAACTGTGAAAGACGTGAAAAGTGAACCTAACCCTCTTAGAAGCATGATGGACAACATCAGAAAACGTGAAATTGAAGTGGTCTAGCACTCTACCTAAAACGAACAAAAATCTCTGAAAACAGCCTTCAACTACTGAGAAAAAAAGGATAATTTTCTGAGGCCAACTGTGATTATGAAAATTGACTCTGAATGATTAAAAGATTTCTAAAAGAAGGGAAAAACAAGTCAAATATGCACTTTTTGTGTGTGTATCCCTTTCATTAAATGTACAGTAAAACTTCACAAATGTAAGTTACCAATCTACTTAAAATGACAATTCAAAAACTGGATAAAAGATTCCTAGATTTCAATATTAAACAACAAAAGGTAAGCCAGAAAACATAAGCAAGATAAAATAACTCTGACCTAAACGAACGATGTAGACTAACAAACTACCCTCCATGTGTTTTGGTAATAAAAATGCTATCTAAAATGCTTCCCTAAATCCAAAGTAAATAATTCCACTCACACATAAAATCCCTACTTATTAAAAAGAAGTACATTCTAGGTTACTGAGGACAACTCAAACATTTTTTAAAGACTTAAGTTTTATGTAGGGATTAGTGTGGAAAAAAGTCTCAAAATAGAAAGATCACAAGTATACTTGCATAAAATTTTCATAAAACTGTTTAATAAGAAACACATGGTGTAAGAAGGACCAGGCTATTTTCAAACTAAAACTTACTAGTATACCCCCTTAATTGTATTTGCTGAGCTTTTTCTTTCATTTTGCTGCTCATATTCATATTCTCAAGGGCTAAGACACACAATGCTGAAAAGACTATCTAAAAAAAAAAAAAAAAAAAAAGGCGAAAGACAGGAACACATAACACCTGTCAAGAAATACTGCAGTTTTATTTCTTGGAATTACAAGGGTTGTACAGATATTATATTTTATAACCCTAATGCTATTTTGCTACCACCCATGAGCAAACCTAAGCATGCTCTTAACCACCACAACTGCCCTTAACCAGAAATATCATTCCTGGAAATTTACCCTGAGAAATCAGTTCAAAAGAAAAAAAACTCAAGATACAAAGAGATTTCTAAAAACATTACTCAAAATAACAACAAAAAATGGAAATAACAGCCTTTAAATATGATATATCAACTTTGCTTATTAAGAAGTTACTTTTTTTTAAATTTTATTTTGTTATGTTACTCACCATACATTACATCACTGGTTTTTGATGTAGTGTTCCATGATTCATTGTTTGCGTATAACACCCAGTGCTCCATGCAGAACGTGTCCTCTTTAACACCCATCACCAGGCTAAGCCATCCCCCTTCCCCAGAACCCTCAGTTTATTTCTCAAGGTCCATAGTCTCTCATGGCTCTCTGCCTCTTTTTTATTCACCGTAGGTAAGAGAATGTCAGTCACAGTTCAGAAAAAGTCCAAGTACAAAGTCTTCTGTCTGGTTTAATACGAGGGGAAATTGAGACCATACTTCAACCAGTCCTCTGCCATTACTCACAGCTGTGTTATCGATAAATCATGGATTGCAGAAAGTTTAATATGGTATTATCTGAAGAACAGATGTATTTTGAATAAAGATGTATTTTATTTCCTCTTAAAAAAGCTACTGAAAATTAAGGCACAACGAAAATATTTAATATATGAAATGAAAAATACACATCTAGGGGCACATGGGTGGCTCAGTAGGTTGGGCATCCAAATCCTCAGTTTCTGCCCAGGTCATGATCTCCTGGCTTGTGGGATGGACCCCACAGGGGCTCAGCGGGGAGTCTGCTTAAAAGATTCTCTCCCTCTGCCCCTCCCCCAGCTCTCCCTGTCTTTCTCTCAAATAAATCTTAAAAATAAAAATACATATCTGTCATTTTCAATTTAGAGAACTCTGTCAGTTTGGAATCACTTTTCCACAAAATGTTTTTTCTAACATTAGAAATAAACACAAATAATGTAACCAACTTTCAAAGGACTTGTGAAACCTGGTATACAAAATACTTTGGCAACCAGGAGATATTCTGAGCAGTTAAAACCACATTTTCATAAACGGTAAGCTCTGGAGTCCTTGCCATAAATGGGAAGCATACAGATCGTTTAATTACTAAATTTTTTGATAACGGACACGACTAACTTTTCCCTACTTTATGCTGTAATTTATTTAACCATTCAACAAACATGTATTGAGTGCCTCTATGTGTGAGAGATTAGGTTACAATGACAAACAAGTAATCATGCAATTACAATGACACACAACAGCTTTGTCAGAAATAATGAGTGCTATGGGAATCAAAGGCTAAGCACTGAATTCAAATAGGAAAGTAGAAATAATAAGACTTTTAAGCTGCAACCGAAATGAGGAATAGGAGTTAGCCAAAGGAAAGAGGGAAGGAGCTAAGAAAGAACATTCCAGGAAGAGGACATAATGTGGGCAAAGGTCAAGAGGCAAAAGGGAGTAAAGCATGTTAAAGGAGCTACAGGACAGTATCACTAGGACAAAGTATAAGAAAAACAGTGAGATATGGGTATAAAGGGTAATGGAGACTAGATCAGGTAGGGCATGCAGACAGCAGGAAAAGATGGGCTTCATCTGAAAAGCAACGATGATCAGCCTAAAAATAGTGACACGTTAGAAAAATCACTGACTGCTATACAGAGAGTAGACATAAAGAAGTTAAGCCAGGAAACCTTGTAAGCACCTAATCAGACAATCCACTGATGGTGACCCAATCTAGGGTGGTACGGTTGTCTTCAGTGTTTACACCCAGCTTGGAACCCCTTGTGTCTGGGTACAACCCTGTGACTAGCTCTAGACAATGAGTTGTAAGAGAAAGTAACGTCTCACCGCCACGCAAGAGGATTTTAACTGCCAGACAAGATATTCGAGAGTTCCTTCTCCCTCTGGCATTGAGACCAACAACATCTGAAATATCAGCTACTCTATCAGCCTGGGTCCTTTGAGTGACTCTAAGGAGCTAAGACCCTTGTCAAAAAATGATAAACATGTGGTATGAAAGAGAAACAACAAATCTTTGTTGTTTTTAAGCCACTGAGATTTTGTACTGTTTAAAAAAAAAAAAAAAAGAGGGGCACCTGGATGGCTTAGTCGTTAAGCGTCTGCCTTCAGCTCAGGTCATGGTCCCAGGATCCTGGGATCGAGCCCCGCATGTGGGTCTCACTGCTCACCGAGAAGCCTGCTTCTCCCTCTCCCACTCCCCCTGCTTGTGTTCCCTCTCTCGCTGTATCTCTGTCAAATAAATAAATAAAATCTTTATAAAAAAAAAAAAAGAAAAGAAAAAAAGAAACCCATAGACCCAAATTAGTGTCACTTTGACCAAGTTCCAAAACTGGCATGTTTAATACATAATCTAACCACAGTTTCAAACTCCCTCAGAAATGTAGTCTTAACTGGACTGTTAGGAATTCTTCAATCAATGCCAATGAGTATGCCATATGGACCCTTCTCTATCCCCCAAAGGAAGAGGAATGAGGTCATCTGCATAAGACCCCTGGCTTTTCCCACTAGAAAGGAGCTGGCCTAGAACAGTCCTTTTCTTTTGCTGATAACTTTCCTGCCTCTACCCTCCTTCTATAAACATCTTCCATTTTGTACAACTCCTTGGAATGCCTCTCTACTTGCTAGATGGGATGCTGCCTGATTCATAAATCATTTCATAAAGCCAATTAGATCTTCGATTACTTGGTTGAATCTTGTTATTTAGCAGGAGCAAAGATAGTCTTAAGCATATCATAGACCTTAGAGACTAGATCTAAGAGTGGGTCTGTGCTAATGTTTAAAACAGTGTACTTTTGGGGCGCCTGGGTGACTCAGTCATTAAGCGTCTGCCTTCGGCTCAGGTCATGATCCCAGGGTCCTGGGATTGAGCCCCGCACCAGGCTCCCTGCTCTGCGGGAAGCCTGCTTCTGCCTCTCCCACTCCCCCTGCTTGTGTTCCCTCTCTCGCTGTCTTTGTCAAATAAATCTTTAAAAAAAAAAACAAAAACAAAACAAAGTGTACTATGAATTAATTCAATGTACCCTTCACTGGAATGAGACAAAATCAACTTAATGTATGTGCTAATAAGACCGATAGCCTACTTGATAAAAACGTTACTTCTGCTTTAACATCAGTTAGTAAAACAGCTTGCAAAACATCTAACAAAATGATGTCCATGAAGATTACTATTGCTACATTTTTAGGTAGGTAAATAATTTGTTGTCAATTACACTGGACTGACCTTGTTGTTTAAAAATAGTCTAAGACTAAACTAAACCCAAAATAAGTAGAAGAAATAAAATAATGAAGTAGAAATAAATAACAGAAAAATACAAGAGAAAAATAAATGAAACCAAAAGTTGATTTTTTGAAAAGATCAACAAAATAAAACACAAATTCCTAAAATCAGAAATGACAGAGGGAGGGTTATCACTACGGACCTTACAGAAATCAAAGGATTCCAAGGAAATACTTTGAAAATCTTTAGACAGTGTAGATAATGGAACGGACAAACTCCTAAAAAGATACAAAGCACCAAAATTAACTCAAGAAGATAACAAATAATCTGAATAGATCTGTAAGAAGAATTTCTACACGGGCTTCCCACAAAGGGAAGCTCATGCCCAAATGGCTTCACTAGTGAACTCTACCAAATATTTAAAGGGAAAATCATATCAAACCTTCACAAACTCTTCCAGAAAACAGTGGAAAGAGAACACTTCACCAATCATTTTATGAGGCCAGAAATACCCTGACAGACATCACAAGAAAACTACAAACCATACCCTCGTGAATACAAACACAAAACTCCTGTACAAAATACCAGCAATCTGAAATTCCACAACAAATAAAAAAAGATTATACATCATGACCAAGTAGAATTTATTCTAAGAACGCCAGATTGGTTTAACATCTGAAAAATCAATTAATGTAATATTAATAAAGAACAAGAACACGATCTTCTCACAAGATGCAGAAAAAGCATTTGACAACATCCAATACCCGTTTAAGATTAAAAACTCTCAACAAACTAGAAGTAGAGGGCAACTTCACCCTGATAACAAAATCCATGCAGCTAAGATCATACATAAAGGTGGAAGATTGAATGCCTTTCCCCTAAGATCAGGAACAAGGCAAAGATGTTCACTCTCACCACCTGTAATTCAACATTCTATTAGCCAGTCCAGGGCGGAAAGGAGGGAA